CATCACTTTTGACAGAACGGGAAGGAGACTAACTGGACGGTGGGTTGCAGTATCACTTTGAAAGCCACATTTGTAAATAATACCGTGTTTCTAGAACTATGGAATTACCCACTAATCTGTGGAACATACTTTGTTAGAAGTTAGCGATTATTTCAGATTTGTGGTTTGCAAAAGAGATCAGAGTCCGCGAATGGATATTGACTTCAACCGGGGATGCACTTTGGCATTTACCGTTTCAGTCTCGAAGGTGGCGTCAGTCAATTTGGGGTGAGACTCATGGCGATCCTCAGTACGATTATTGTTATTGTCAGATAATAGGATTCAAATGGCTGAGTTTTAGGGAATTTTTAAGTAACTCGACTAAAAGCGTACTTTTTATTGCTCGGTTTTTCAAGGCTATCTGTTTGCGCATCGACGGTAAGTGCGCATAATGTTTCATAAACCTATGTTCACCTAGGCGAATGCTTAATAAAGAGACTGTTGTTTACCTCCAATTTTCTACTGCATCTTGTTAATCACTCAATATCGTAAAATTCTCTTTCTTTAAAATGAAATATCAGTACAACTGGCCCCAGGACCGATATCCTGACTGAGAGTTTTTCGACGGGTGGTATCGTACTGGAAATGTCCAGGTAGAAGTCAAACATTCGGATCACTTGCGAAACCAGGCCTAAAGTCAGATAGGTAACAAAATGGGGTATTGGATGAATTTCGCGGACTATCTGATTCAGAATGAAGCCCATTATTGTACAAAAACCCAAATCGCAAGGCACCTCATGGTAACCGAAAAGGCTGGCCTTTGGCAAAACCTAAGTGATACAAAATTATTTTCCGGTATATTATTTCCCCTCCCCCTTCTATCTGTCTCTCTCTGTCCATCTATCAGTCTGCCTGTGTGTCTGTCTGTCAGTATACTAAAGTAGATATTGAACTGCTTTCGACCGCAGATTATCTGTCCGACAATAATCTAACAGAAGTTACGCATTGTTTTCCTAAGCTTATGTAATGATGTAAATGTAATCATTTCAAAGAAGTGCAGTACAAAATGTTGAAAAACGATCAGAATGGTTTTCGGAAGACAACAGTCTCTCTCACACACAGTCCACACTGTAATAGTTAGAACGTAACAGAGGTCTAGTATGGCACCGTATTGATCCTGGACATTATTGCTCCAGCACAAAATGTCGGATTAACGGTGCTTTATGCTCACTTTATCGAACAAGGAGCTGCACGAGTGTTTTGGGGACAATCAATCACGCTGTTCGAGGGGACAAATTAAATCCAGCATGTGATTCAATCGGAACGACG